CTAGTAATAAAATGTCTCCAAAGGGGTCACCAGAAAACCACTAAATGGATTGCTCCACATTTGGAAGAAAATCAACTGGGGTGGGGAAATAGGAAATGAAAATAAATATATCAGGCAAAGATATTATTCATCCGTATTTAATGTGGTTCAACAGCCTTCATTTATTAACTTCCAGCTAGCCTGCTGTGGTTATGCAATGCATAACCTTTTGCAATGCGCTATGCCATGTCGAACTGTGTTCATTTTTGTCTTCATGCTTATATCAAAGCTTTCGCCTAGGTTTGATTTGTGGTCCTGGCTTCCCCCCTCTTCTTCTTTTCCTTCCCTGTGAATGTTAAATGGACAATAATGATCTGCCTTGGAATCAGTCTAGGCTCCAGATGACAGCCAGGAGAAATCAGGGCTGTTTTTCTTGGCAACATTCTTGGAAGTGGCCTGCTTTGTTCTCTTCCTAAGGCTGAGTTCAGGTGCCTGATCCAAGTCACCCAGCGACCTTTGTGCATAAGCTGGGACTAAAACTCATGGTGTCCCAGTCTCCAGACTTCTTATGAAATATTTTGAATTGCAAGGAATTTCCTTTGCTCCAGTTGCTTCCAAATCATGTTATATTTCATGAAGGTATGTAGGACATTTGCAAATTCTAGCAAAGCAAAACCTAGGGAACCATGAAATGTAAAATTCTTTTCAGATGGTAAAGCACTTCGTAGTTCAGAGACACTAGTAGCAACTTTGAATTTTCCATCATGGCAGTTCAGTACTTTTTCGTCTCCCTGTTTTTTTCCCATATGATGAAGATCTTATTTTTATTTTCTCATTTAAGTGAGATACAGTACATGAGGGCATGGGTACAGCATACGTACACACTTCAGCACCCCAGGGTAATTGAGGGTGCTTGGGAGAAAGGAGTGTCATTCAGGCTAAGGCTCTGTTCCCAGTAGGCTTCCCAAAAAGAGGTGCCCTCAGTCATTTTCTGAAGCACCAGCTGGTATAAACAGATGGATTTCATGGAAACCAGGAACACTTCTATGGAGCCATCTGATAAGACAGATGTGAAATACAACACACTTTGTTACAAAATGGAGCAGCTACTGTGCATAGAGTACAACCCAAGCAGAGGTTATTTGAGCTTGTGGACTCACTTGGAAAGCCTAGTCATGAGCTGAGGAAACCTCTTCCAAAGAAATACGTTGAAGTTCTCCCCTTCAATGATCTCTCCTTGCAGATCTTGCAGGGAGAGCGGAAACTCCCCTTGAAAGAGAGAAGGTCTGTTTTTAGGAGGGCAGCATGTGAAATGGATGATGCTTTTCTTCCCTGTTGTGCTCCAATATGGGGAAGATGATTATTCTTCTATGGGTGAGGAATTAACTTAGAATCTAAGCCTTAGTATCTGCTAACTGAAGTGTGGTATCAAGGCTAGCTACATGCCTTACTGTGCACTATTTCCTTATTCTACTTTCTTGGAGTGGACATGATTCTTATTGTCAACCTTTCATTACATACAAACTCAAACCTCCTTCGGCTCTCTTAGGAAATTAGTTTCATCCCTTTTATAGAATGGATTTCTGCTCCCCCGTCTCTAAGACATCAATACAGCCAAAGGTGATCCTCAGACAAGGCCTCTTTACTTGAAGCAACAGTCACCTGTCTAATTTTCCCATGTGATAGCCTGTTCCTTAATAATCAAACCAAAGAAGGGGAGATTAAGAAGAGGAGTATTGTGAATCCTTTTCACCTGATAGTGAAACTGGGGGCACGTTGAAAAAGTGAGTTCTGCTGGCAAATTAATTTCTTTATATAGGAGAACTATGTATAATGTTCACTATAGTTAAGGTTAGGGATGGAGGAAGAAACAGAATAGAAGCATTTGAAAGGGAAAGAAGGGGAAGCCACAGGAGGAGGAGGAGGAGTTGGAGAAGGAGCAGGAGAAGTAGAGACTGTGATAACTGGTAGAGGAAAAGGTAGAGCAAGGAATGAGACTGCTTTCAGAGATAGACATATTTCCTGAAACAGATTTCCATACACTGAAACTGTGAAAATAAAGAGGGTCATTCATTCTTGGATGCAGAACACTGTAGATTGCCAGAGCTGTATCCTTCATGGCCAAGCTGACTAAAAGCTAACAGGAAAGAAATGGCAAGCCACTTCCTTAATATTGCTGAAAAAACTGCACAATTGTGTCTCTGCAGTCACCAAGAGTTAACAGGGCCTATAATACTCATCTCACATTTATACAGTTTCCATCTGGATTTATGCAAAATCACCATCACTTTCACTTCTCATTTAAAGCCTCAAAGCTTCCCATCTCACACAGACAGGCAGGTTCACCTCACAGAGGCCCTCAGAGATCCAGCCATTTCTCCACAATGGGGTCCTTCTTCCCAGTACTCCTGATGCTGGCTGTCTTCTTTTCCCGTGCGTTCATTTAGCATTTTTAAAAAATTTCTTCAGCTTCTGTAATTGAACTGAAGCTGTCCTTTTTTACAATGGCTGTGACTTCCTAACTCTGATCTGTTCTGTTCTTCCTTCTGTGTTTAGGAGGCCTCTCACAAATAGTCCTGACCCAGTCAGATCCAGCACTGAAGAAACCAGGAGAAGCCCATAAACTGACTTGTGCTGTGACTGGATTCGATGTCAACAGCTACGCTATGGATTGGGTCAGGCAGAAACCTGGGGAAGGCCTGGAATGGCTTGTATACTATTACAGCTCTGGTAGCAACTATTATTCCCCAACCATCCAAGGACGATTTACTGCCTCCAAAGACAGTTCCAACTTCTACCT